ACATTTAAAAGGATCTACAACCAAATTCACAGTTTGTACATCAATATATGAAAAGTAGTCAGAGAACCGCTCTCTGAGTTTGGTAAGATGAAATTAGAAAAATTACCCAAAAAAAAAAATCATTTTTACCCCATTTTGGGTAATTTACCCCGGTTCCCCGACCGCTGCTCTAACATGTCTGTAAAATTTATTTGAATTCTGATTTGTTTATGCTAAATATATTTTAGTTGCGACTTGATTTTGCTTCTTCTATAATACCGGATTTTACAGACAATAATAACCTCTGAAATATAAGATTAAGGCTTTTTGAAAAACAAATTATATAAGAATGTGCATTTGTGTTTAAATCTCTGAAATCCTTTCAGTTCTTCATCCGAGTACTATTTGTTCCATCATTGTATAAGAACTACAGATTTCTTACGCTCTAGAAACTGTATTGATTTCTATTTCATCTACGACCTGATATTTGTTTACGTTCGCATCCTATTGTATTTTTGTTTTGTTTTATGTGATCCCTCTTATTTTTGCTCTTCTTTGAATTATTATTCGCGCAGCAATTCGCCCCGAATCCGTGGGCGGCGCCTGCGTCGCGCCCTTTCCGCCTGGCCCTGCGTGTCGATAAGGGAAGAGCGTCGCGACGCGTCGACTCCAACTAGTGTTCGGCGTCGCGGTTCTTCTCGAGGAGTCGGTCACAAGGTCGCGACCGCGCACCAACGCTCCCTCCAAAAAGATAAATAAATAAATTTAAAAAAATAATAAAGAGGAACTGATAGATCGTCACCATCGGTGAAAGAGGTGATAAACGCGGGAGAAAAATGATGCTCACGTTGAACGTGGTAAGGAAAGAGAACAGATTACCTTTTTCATCGTAGGCTCGTATAGTTACAATTCATAACGCAATTACTCTTCGCCATCTCCTCCCCGGATGCTGGCTGGCTGCATGGGCGAAATCATATGTTTCGCGTTTTCTCTAACGTAGATCGCTCTAAACGTACTTACTATATTTACGCTATGTATTATTAAACGTAAACAATATATTAATAAACAAACAAGATAAGTTTCTATGAAAGTTAATATAAATTTATCTTGCTAAATTTCATAATATATATGTAGAAAAATAAAATGGATAGATAAATTGTTGGAGTAATGTTAAAGGTTATAGATTGTTTTAGTGGATGAGGTATTGAGTGTTCTTTATATTTGTGAGGGAAATCATTTGTTTCTTGTAGCAAAATTGAATACTGATTATCACATCTATAAAAAAAAACATATTTATTTCTTTTTTAAAAACAATAATATATTCTCAATATATAATATATAATCATAAACTATTCTGTATAAATATAAATGTAACAATACGTATAGGTATCTTGTTTTCCTTAGGTATAGTAGAAATGTGTATAAATTAGTCTAAGTACCAATGATAATAATAATGACCGTGTCGTGAGGGGTGGTGGGCTGTTTGTTATTTTTTAATATATTTTTTTTTGCTTTTCGTTTGTTTGCAAATCGGTGGTGCATCGCATCGGCCATCACGAGTAAGTCCCTAGTATGTACTCCGGTTTCCAGAGTTGGTTCGAAAAGAAATTGTTCACAATAGCAATGTCCCTGTCATGGTCGGGGGTGGCGGTGACCGGTGCGATGGTCACCCCCTCAGGTACCACCAGTCCGAACGGTATTAGCGGATCATCGACCACTCTCTTCCTTCCGCCTCTACCGGACGTCTTGTTGGACGAGCCCTCGGCGGTTGCTATCAGCTCGCACTGAGATGGTAACATGCCTACATCCTGCGAGGAGCTCGTCTCCGCCTCATCCAAATTCTCACTAGTTTGCGGCGATGCTGCGGGCTTGATGGCAGCCCCCCTGTGGTGGCCGTAACTGTTCAAGCCCATGCTGCTGATAAGCTTCTCGCGCTGCAATCGAACCCTCTTGGTGGTGATCACAAATGCGCTGACGAAGGCCTTCTGGCAGACGTCCACCGTCTTGACGCTGGGCAGCACCGGCACCAGATACTTGCAGGTGATCCGACGCGGCGACCTTCCGCTGACTGTCATTTCCGGCAGGTTCATACGCGCCCTCACATCCATATGCTTACGCAAGAACGCGTTCTGTTTGTCCGTGTCGCAGAGGCCGTAGAAGTGCGTGAAGAGGCGCTCCCTCAGCTCCACGGGAACACGTTCGTCGCATTTTTGCGGGCACGTGCACAGTTCATCTGGAAAAGCAAGAAAATTGAAAGTTAGAGGGCGAGCCAAATCAAGGTTTTCTTGTCTGTGCGATTCGATGGGCGCGAGTTTCAACGTTTCAACCTACGTCACACCGCGGGGGTTTGTGTAATCCCGGCGAACTTTGGGGGCGGTCGGGGGATGAAATCCCTCTCGTTCTGCTCTATACTATTGTTCGATCCGCATAAAAGCTCACCTACATTCCATCCCACGTTCCATATTTAGACCTCTCCCATCGTCCAAATTGCTTCTCTTATTTATCATCCTCACAAAACCCAACAAAACGAATGATACAGTAACAAAATTACATTTGATAACAATATCATCTAGTATATAATGTTTCAATTCATCAAGTATATTAATTGTTAAATATTCAAAACAATTGTATTAATAATAACGAGTTAAATCATTTTGTTACGTTTTCCAATTCAAAATTAACAATTCTTGACATATAAAACTACTTCTGATTTATATTGTTTAAATTTGCATCTATCAATTACATCAATGTTTAAAAACCTTTACCAACATTGTTAAATCAGATTTATATATCTATTGATTATTTACCAATAATATATTTAGTAATATAATAGTATTAGAAAATGTTATGCCTTTAACATGTAACATTCATATTAATTCTTACTAGAACAAACTACTTTATCTTTTAAATATGCATGCGTATACACTTGCACAATTCAATAGTAATTAGTAATCTAAAGTGCTTGTGTCAAAAATGCCGTTTCTAGTTTACCATTTCGGAGATGATTTCATCAACATACAAACAGGTTCTTTTCTAAGACGTTGGCGTGCACAGACCGAAAACTTTCGTTAATGGTGGTCTAGCGAAACAGAAATGAATTCGTTCAATTACGAGACAAATTTTGCAGTGGTTTGTTTCATATGTTTTTTACTCTTATTACGCATTCACATCAACAATCCCATTCAACTAATTATCGCGATTCTGCTTACCTATGCAAATTCATAGATCGTGTGCAACGAGTAAATTTATGTTTCTTTTTGAATCGCGCACGAAATTCTTCCACCTCGTGCTTAGAATACTAATATATCGTAGGTAATATCTATTTATTATTTAATTTACTCTATTAGAAAAAATAATATGTAACTACTATCAATTTATTTAATATAGAGCATGTATTTAATTAAACTGGGATGAAATTTATGCCATTCGAAATTTGATTTGGATATAGCTGTTACATTCACAATAATTATATTCTCTCAAATAATTTACTGTTCTTTTCAATAAAATAATTTTAATAATTGAATGATGAAAAATCCTGGATAAAAAAGTTACAATGCGCAATGTAAATTGTAAGTTTGTTTTTAAGTATATTTTAATTAACAGAACCATCTTATAATCGATGAAAAAACAAGATGCAATTGAGTCGAGTGTTTTTTTTTTTATAGATTTTAAAATGCTGAGAATAGATCCGAGAATCTCCCATTATCTGATAAAAATCAAGATGAAAGTTATCCAATAATTGAATACACCACATAATCTTGTTTTGATGTCGAAATTATAATTATAACAATTAAATTCAATTTACGTTTCGTTTCAATGGCAAATTAAAACGTGTGAATGTCGGAATTGTTAAAATATAAGCGGTATATCAATGCGTTCCTAATTAGTAGCAAAATAAAATAGTTTAATTAATCGATAATTTCGTAGATGCAATAAATAAAATAATTTTGAAGTATTTTTACATGTTAATCATCGATAGTCGCAAGAAAACTTAGGAAAGTTTCTAGATAATTGTTTCGATTAAGGCTCTTTCCGCTTTGCGGTTATTAAAAACCTGTTGGCGTTTTTCGAGTGAAAGAAAATAAAGCTATTTTTACGATCGAAATATTTAGTTTCTTAGCATAATTTTTTCGAAAACACCAACCTAAGATTGTCAATACTCAATATTATAATTCTCAACATAGATGTTATGGTCGGCAATAAATATTGTGGTTTTATGAATGTCTTAAGGTTGACGACTCGCTGAACCCACGCGCCTGTACAAATAAAGTAGATTTGTTTATTTTTTTAAATTTATGACAATTAAAATAAAATAATTAAATGACGAATTAGTGGAAGTTCTAATTCGTCATTTAATTAACTTGGAAATAGACTGAGTTTAACTGTATATTAAGTTGTCATTTACATAATTAGCTTTGAAAAAAATCGATGTAATGTAAATGGGGATATGGACTAAATTGATGTCAAAGGGTTAATTGAATATTAATGAAATTGATGTCACAAAGGTGTTATTGACTATCAGCGTTCTATTTGTATATGTGACTATTCTTCGTGTTTAAGGTAAAAAATGGTTTAAACTTTCACGACGAGTATTTCGGTATGTTAATCGTTTTGGAGTTCTGCATACGAAGAGAGCGCGTATCGATTCGAAGATGGGCTCCTAATATTTAATTTAAGGTCTTTAATGGCTTGATCGATAGGCGGTCGCGGCGTCACGGCAAAAAAAGGAAAGGCGGCTTTCGCGTAATTTTAGACGAATACTTCTAAGATTCGGATGATTAGGTAATTTTTAAGGTCTTGATCAATAGGCCAAGCAGCCAGGACTTTCTCTCCCCGATCGGTTACGCGCTCGAAACAGCGTTTTTGGACCGTGGTGCCAAAGCACCTTCGGCGAGGGTCTTTTGTTTGTTTGGTCTAGGTCTTTTGCAAACAAACAGATTGTAGCCTGGTTACTACGTGCGCTCTTTTCGTTTGGAAACAAACGGGGACTTTTTTTGCGGTTCGCGTTTTGGTCTTTTATTATTTTTCCGAAGGCCGCTGGTGTTGCACGATGTCGTGGACGGACGTTCCTTGAAACTGCGACCTACATACAAGTAAGGTCATCGCGGATCGGACTTTTTTTCCACTCTCGAACGTCGTTTTGCGTGTGTGTGCACACGTTCGGGGGGCCTTTTTAAATGGCACGTCCATATCCTAAAAGGGGCCCCTCGCAACGACGATGACGAACGCCCTACCGCACGATTCCGTACAAAAAAAAACTATATAGTACTGAGATATACTAAACGACCGCATCGGTTTTCCCCGAATCGCATAAACAGAAAGCACGATAAATAGCATGAGAATACTGACAAACAAAAACATGGAGATAAATAAATAATGTATGGGCCGCTGGGACCCGGAACTGCCCGATGCAATTGTTTTTAGGGAATCTCTTGGATTTGAGCAGGACATCATCGTCGACGAGGTGTTATTATTGTTGTCACAGGGAGCTGTCAAAGCTGTGACGACAATGTAAACACACCACGTACATCGGGATGACGAGGAAGGTGGAGGAGGACTATACTTCTCTTCTCATGTTTTCACGAGCTCTCAGGGATTTCTTATTGGAAGGTTGTCGGATGTTCGGGTAGGTTTCTGGTGGCGGGATACGAACCTGCGACTTTCTTCGCCGGTATGAGTTTTCCCGTCCTCGAGATGTAAGCCAGACCGGAGCTCCTCAGGTGCTTCTGGAGTTTCCTCTTGGAGCGCGGCGTGTTTTTCTCGATGCCTTGCAGAAGAGCAGCTGTCAACGTCGCCATACTTTTTAATACCGTGGCGCTAACATAATGGGCGTGAGGAACGATACAAACACTCGCTGCTCACACTCTCTCTCGCACACTCTCACAAGTATACGAGCACACACAGAGGCGCGCATGCATACACGTACACACTTATACCACGGTGGGGTAAAAAAACACACTCATACACACGGACGCACACATTCATAGGAGGAGGTCGTGCGACGCACACCAACTCTGCGCCGCTGCTGTCGCTCCTGCCTAACCACCGTTGCGCAATCCAATTACAATTGTAGGCATTGCACACCGCTGTTCTTTCAGTTGCATACGTTTTTTTTTCCCTCCTCGACCTCTTCGCAAATTGATTTAAATCGCCAGCTGTTCATACTGTGCTTCATCATTTCCAAGTACTCCCGAAGCGCTCTTAACTTGCATATCATCTCACCCATTGTTCTCGGAACAAATTGATTCAAATTTGTTAGAACACAATGACTTGATCGATATACCTGTTTACATATACGTTCATTGAATACAACATTCATTTGTATCTTATAATTTAACATATTTGTAGATTTCATCGATATCCTAATTGGAATTGATTAATAATTTATCCAATTAGTCTTCAAGTGCTCTTAGCTACAATTTGATTTCTTTGAAAAAATCCTTTCTAATCTATTCATCTCCTTTACTGAATCTATTTGTATAAACAGAAGACTGTTTAGTCAATCTGTCTCCACATAATTTTAACTTTTATTTCGGAATAAATAGTTCTTAGAACAAATTGATCCAAATGTCTTTACTATATTTATCTTTACTAGTTATTTTAGTATATATGTAAGAACAGGTATTCCAATTGGAATTGGTTAAACATTTATTCGAATTATCTGCAAATACTTTCATTTCAATATTTATTTTGCCTGAGAATAAATTGATACAAATTTGTTACAATGTTTTGTTAGAAAATAAACATTTCAACACTATCCAAATTTGATATCTTCAATCTTACCTTTTTATATATACGTTCATTGAATACATTCATGCTAATGCATATATCTTAATTAATTTAATGAGCTTGTAAGAATATACAGATCTAAATTAATTAGTTTTTTTTTGGTTAATTAACCTTGAAAAACTTTAATTTCATTTTGTTTTATTGAGAAAATTTGAAATAAGTTGAAATTCATTACATCTATTTGTACATGCGTAAAATCGATAAGATTTCACTAGATGTTGGAGATATAATCTTACTTCAAGTTAATTTGTAGGCATACTTCAGTAGCGTCTGATACATTGGATTACAACTAACATTCTACAAGTACGTGCATGCTGCAAATAGATGCTTGGGGTTTGAGGCCACAAGTGGCCATTGTATGCGAAACCCTAACAAATGCCTAACATACCGCATGTAATGTTATTTAGTTTCAAACGTATATTAAACTAGTCTCCTATTATGGCAATTATTAACGTTATTTAATATTAGAGTATAGTACAGATTGCTTCGATAATTGTAAGCAACAATCAATGAATTAACCGATCAATGTTGTATTTCATCATGTATAAATGCATCATTCTATATAATTGCGAGCCACTTTGTTTAAATGTAACAGAAATAATTTATATTTGTGTGTTTATTTATTCCTGGCCTTGGCTTGTTTTTTTTCTCTTACCTACGACGAGGATTGATTTTTTTTCTCCTCGCAACATTTGTCGTTTACGTGGAGAGATCTCTGTAGAAAGAAAACGGCGGACAGAATATAATTCCATTTCAAAAGTACTTACACAGAAGGCAATTTAATTATATTTTATAATTTACTTTGAACCAAACCCGTCGCATCCATAAATTTAATGCAGTTGCGTTTCAATTTTAGTTTGCGAACGAAAACAATTATGTTTGCTATAATTTTCTAGAGAAAAAAAATAAAGTAAATTGGTTTCAATTCTAAATATATATACAGTTTTGCATATACTAAGTGTGAATGACGCAATAAGCATGTTTGAATGTATAATTTTGTTAGTATACGATCTGCCCTTGCCCTATGTATTATTCAAAGAGAACATAAGTTAGTGCGAAACGATAAATAAAACAAAACGAATTTGTTAATATCTTAACGCGATCTTTTATTAACGCCGCGCTGAATACATTAAGTGCATTTATTACTTTTGCTCTGGCATTGGGAAATGAAGAGCGACACGTAATTATATTAGTTTCGCGAATAAATAACCGTTCCAGCTCTTGAAGTTATACACATTTTCCTGTCATAATTTCTACTTTATGTAGTTCACTTCAAGAGCGTGTATTTTTCTACCTGCAGCTATTTAATAATTGATATTAGCGTTTCTGCAGAAGTAGGATAATTACTTTTACTTGAATCGTGGGTATTGTTCTTCATGGTTCTCAGCATACGAGAGTTAAGCGCGTATTTTTTGAGTAGTGTTTTGGGTGGGTGGATAATTGGTACAAGAATTATCGTCACATTATTGAAGATCGTTTAAATCAGGATTTCCCAAACTATGTTCCGCGTGTTAATAGGTATTGCGTGAAAAACAGGAATGAAATAATTACTAAATAAATAATGAATTTTTTTTTTAATTTTATTGATTATATACAAAATAAACAAGGTGTTACGTGAAAATTTCAGGATTTACGAAGTGTTCAGTTGTAGGAAAAGTTTGGGAATTCCGGGATGAAATAATGGATGTATGTTAAAATATGTATTGCAAATTTGGATTAGGATATTTCTGCAAAATATATAAATTGCATTAGGTGTACCACATGGTAGTGTATTGGGTCTTATTATGTGTCTCTTAGATTTGATGAAATGAACGGAACAAAAAAAAACTAGTTTTTAAATAAATTTTCTTGTGTAATTGACTAGAGAAAACAAATTATATTTAATTATTGTAGTTGGAATCAGCGCGGTTCTAACGCGTTTGAAATATTATGTAACATCTTTTTTTTGTAAGATTAGTACCAATACATTTGGCATAGAATACAACTGTAAATTTCGTACGTTCAATAGGTCACCATATGCAAAATTAACGAAAATGGTCTGGAGCGCAATCAGATTTAATTGCAGCGCCATGCATAATAGAAAAGGCAAGGAAGGCGTGTGTGGTGTGTGTGTGTGTAGGAAGAACCACTTGTCTTTTGAAATTCATAAATTTACGACCGACACACAGGAGATTTATGCATGCAACGTCGGTAATTAAGTAATTTCGAGTGACGGAAATAATTAGCAATGTAGGAATGGCAAAATGGGTTTCTAAAAACGTGCCGACGAAACGATTTCAGGGTAAAGCGAGGCGCGGCGGAGAGAGAGAGGGGTGGAAACAACGATCAGAATCATTATCGAATTATGAATTCCAGCTGCAATGCAAAAAGAGAAACGTTCATTCTCATCCTCGAGTTTCATTAATTACAATCAAGTGGACTGTTTTGCATTTCTTCCTACGTCGCAGGATGCAATTGTTTGTTGCACTCTGTGTGTTTGTTGCAAATTTTGTTATTGTCTTTGGTGGTTTTTAGGTGCGGCATAAAATGTTCGGATGGGCTAGTTAATAATGAATCGACTATTTAATGGAGAACAAAGAGCAGTTAGTTTTGATCGTGTTGCTCGGTTTCCACCCTCGCCTCGCGGCCTGCGCTCAAATGTCAGGGGTCAAGTGCAGCGCCGTTGCCCAGGGCAAAGTTTGATGCTATAAGGTCACTTGATATTTCGTCGACTGTGCGATTTTCAATTGTCCTTTGATTATTGGAGTAGATCAAGTTTAGTTTTTTGCTAACGATTTATTTCTATTTAAATGAATCTAAAAAGATTAACTTCTAAATATACCTCGCTAATATCCTGTACTGTTTGAAACTGCACAATAAGAGACTTGGGTGTATAAATGAAAAACAAATGATCATTTATAATTTAGTGTACTAATTTGTAGAATTTATTAATATTCAAATTTAGTTTTTCTATAAATTTTCAAAAGTGAATCCGCACTGATCGAATCAGCACTATGTATTGCTGTATTAACATTTTAAATTTATTGATTATGAATACAGTGGAATTCGCTTAATCCGTTATGTGTGTGCAAAGTTTATGATGTAGTAGGCGCGCAATCCGGGACTTCTCTTCTCCTCGTCACTCGTTATGCGAATCGTCGCTCGTTAAGCGAGTCATTTTTCTTACAATTCATTTTGATCGTTAAGCGAAATGCTCGTTATGCGAGGTTCCACTGTGATCTAGTTTTAAAGGATTTAACTAAAAAATAGTACACTATTTCATAATTCAATCTTTTAAATACAAAAAATATATTTAATCCATATTGTATAATTTAGTATATATTCAATTAATTATAACTACGTGAACTATATATATTTTTTTATTTATAGATGTATATTATAATACGTCGAGTTGTTTGTTTCTTTAGTTAGCAATTAGCGTAATTTTACCCCCACGAGTCTCATAAATTATATTCCGGTGTTGGGTTCTATATTAGAATTCCCTTTAAACGCTTACTACACTAGGGCGGATTACATTCAAAGTTCTGTCAGCGCTTTAGTTAATAATTCATTCTTTATGTTTTACTGTTATCAATTGTATACAATAATTATCAGTATTACTCAAACAATTCAATTGCAGATTATTCTCTACTCTATTGAGTTAAACTTCGTAAAGTGTAAAACTCGTGTTTATCACTGTTGAAATTTGTATTCTGATCTTTTTATATAATCAAAGTTTTTAGTCTCTCAATTGATTGTTAAATATAACAATAATATTTGCAATAATTACAAAAAGTGCCCAAAAAACTAATGAGTATTCATAATTAAAATCATGAAATAAATGATTCGTCTTTATAGCTATTGACCAGTTTTTTCGTCCACTTTTACACTTAATATAACATATTTCAATGTAATTTTTCTGTCATATTACATTAGACTTAATATTTTATACGTTTTATAAACTACATAAATAATATACATTGAACAAATTCGTTAACTAAATTTGAATATTTTAATTAGAATTAGAAGTAAAATATAAAATTATAGAATAAATATGATTTAGTAATGTAAAGTGTATTCAAATTATCTGAAAAGAAAGTTAATTTTAATTGAATTTTTAATTTTTACTATTGAACAACATTTATGAATGAGTAAAAGTGAGCGTACATTTGTAAATAGTAGAAACAATGTTATTAATGAATGGACACAATAAAAACTGTGCTTGAAAATCTTAATATAAGTGTTAGTAATAAATTAGTTCAAAAACTACAAATTTCTATAAAATCAGTTTTAGATCGTGCAATGCCAACTCACGTTGACACACATATCGCAAGTACTTGTACAAGTTGTCGAATATAAGAAATTTGGCAAAATCCGCGTAGTTTGTACGTATCTTTATGTCGTTATATTTTCACTTGAGTAATAAAATAAAATTCGTGACGGCTTGCAAATATTTGATACTTTTTCAATTAAATAATGCCATTGATATAAATCTAAGTCGAACAAAACCATACATTGTTCTTATCTGTCAATGAAATTGTGCAGGTCATAAAATGATAGCGGAATGCAAACTTTTTTGTTTTCATTTTATGTGGGAACCACAGCCAACGCCGCATAACTCATATTCCACAATACAAAGTTTCCTCTGTGCGCGGAATGTGTGCAATATAAATTCAGTTTAAACTTGACTTTCTGGTCTGGTCTGGACATTCATTGTATTGTATTGTGCAATACGCGTTTTATTGCGGAGGGAGTGAAACGGACGGTGCATGCTTCTTGCATGCATACCTTTAAATAATGCAAAGGTAAAGGTTGCTTGAATTAACCTTTACATGTTCGAACGGAGTAATATTATTAATAATAATAATGATGATGAGCGGGGAAAAAAAGTTTGCATTCGGCAAGTTTTGTTTCTCTTACATCTTTCCTTTTGAACTCCAAATGGAAGGCAAATCGAGCGGAACGAAGGGATGATAAAACTCTGGCTCGCTACTTTTTCTCCAACACTATTATTTATTTATCTCTTCCATTCTTTCTTCGGTTTTTTTTCTTTTACCACTTTTGAGCGCATATATCTTTCGTTGTCTGGAAAACGGGGGTAATTGATTGTAATCATCGAAGCGGCTCTTTGAGTGCTCAGGCAAGTTCATATTCCAGGGTCGTATTTAACAGTTTTTATTTGTAAAGTTTTAAACTTTCTTAATTTGTTCAACATTTGTTTTTAAGAATAAACAAACAACTTTTACAATAACGATTATTTGTCACTAATAAAAAATATAATCAAATGGTTACATAGCAAACCGTTAAATATAACAGACAAAAAATAGACAGAGATAAAAGATTTTAAGAATAATTAAGTTATTATTAAACAACATATTAAGAATATACGTTCATTCAACTTCAATGTACACATTGAAATAAAATTAATATTAAAATAACATTGTTAAAGGTTAAACTATGTGAAAGATCTTTCTAAAAATTTGAATATTGATTTTGTATGTTCTGATAATAAAGTGGAGGATATTTATTGTTAAGTCAATAAATCGCAGATAGTCAACACCCTGAAAATCGTTTCGCGTCTTGACACAATTTGAATTGTAGCTTGAGCATGTGAATTTAGTGGATGCTGTTCGAGTTGAAAGGCAACGAACTGTATCAGTGATCGATCTTAGAGTGAAAGATGTTTGACACGGACGTTTGTAATGATAGCGTTCACATAGGTAACAAATTGGCTTTGTGTGTTAATATTACATTTATAATTGATAATTAAAACGTAAATTTAAAAAAAATAATATGTATTAAAATTATAGTAAAATAAAAAAAAACAATTATTTACTTTTTTTGTGTTGAAGTTATTAGAATAATAATGTTTGATTTGTTTTTGTAATTCTATCACTTATTATTTATGTGATAAACATATTTATGACTATACATTATGTTAATTACTGTTAATTGAATTAGTTTTCATCTATATTGTTTCAATTTTAATATTCAGTAAATTAGTTCCCAATTAACAAGTTCCAAATTACTTTCCTTACAGTCATCAAGTGAATTACACATGTCAATGTTGTTTCATCAATTGAAATTGAATACTTTCTATACATTTTTCTAAAATATTTCTTGCAGAAATATACTATGGTATCAATTGAAATATAAGGACTTTATCTATATTATTTTATGCATCTGCAATATTTAATATTTTAAATCGTGGAATTGTTTGTCCTATAAGTTTATTGAAAGTGTTAAGTTCAAAGTTTATTTTATATATCAGAAGTTCTCAATCTATGGGCCGCGAAATGACAGGTGTCACTTTATGTCAAACCGAGGAAATGGTGAACAACTGTTAGCAATTGGGATACAGTACAACTGCAAACAAATATGTTGGGTCGCGCGAAAAAATGGTTGAGAAACGCTGTTCCATATAAATATTTACTTTAGTCATTGTAGATTGTTAATCTTATTTGGTGAATATGTCTTTATAAAAGGAACATTTGCTGTTCTCTTTTGTTTACTTCATTTTCATACGTTATATAATCTAGACCTTTAGATATGATATATTGTCAGACATTTTTCTTGTTATCTCTTATTCACATTCCAATAAGACTTATTGGAATTTGCATGATGAAGAAAAATGAAATGTATTTATAGATAAAGACTGTTTGTCTTTAAGAAATATAACAATATATATGTAGACCCAGACAACTACCATATAAGTAAACAACATTTAGACGAATTATTACTGAAGTTATATACTACATCCGAGGATAGTGTTTTGGAATACACAAACAGGATTATATGAGATTGGACGGTGGGCAGTGGCTAGATCCGCCCCTGCCAATCGGGGGCGGCAGTAGTTTAAGGTTGGATGGTGTCGTCCGAAAAAAAGAAGAAAGTGTTTAATCGTGGGGGCGCGCAGTGTTGCAGACTAACTGGCACAAAGCCGCCCTCGCGGTTTTCGCAAACTGCGCCGTGCCTGGTATCACCGTCCCCAATCTCGACGCAACCACCCACCCACAGAAAACCACCCTTTTCGGTAGTTAATCTTCACCCATACCAACCACATCCATTTTTTGCTCTTCCCAAGATGTAACCCAAAAAATAAAAAAAATATATTGGCATCTCGGGTTTGATTGTCTATGGTCATAAAAAGTACGCCCTAGTTTCATCGAACAACGATGGATGTTTTCGATCTATTTACCAAATCGAAGCGATTGTGAAAGAAGGAAGAAACTGTAAATGAAATTCTCGGAGCATCTTGCCTGGGTCGATCGGTATTTACACCCAGCAAATATTTACTTTAATTGAAGGCGATATTTTGGATTTGGTCGAAGAAAACTGTGCTCGGATATTATTCGCAGGATGCGTAGGTATGGGAGCGCCCGTTGCGCCACTGCCTGACGAGAAGGACCTGGGGTCTTGGAAGCGCGAGATCCGATTCGCAGTCGCAACCGAGCGCTCTTTGCGAGAGCGCTTCCCCTCACGAGTTTGTCAAGTATATTCGAAGAGCTTCGAAAGTATCGCGAAGTTGTGCGAGTGTGCGTGTGCCCGAACGAGAGATCTCTTCTCCATACCATCGTCCGTGTCGAGAGTACCACTTGGAATACAGCCATGCCTCAGGTATTCACTGCCAAAAGGGCCCAAAGCTAAAATACGCGTATGTGCATGCACGGCCGCTCCGATTTGCCCGTATTTGGTGTGTACACACACAACTCGCCTATTAGGAAAACGCACTCCGAATGCAGTCCAATTGAATATGTATCGAATGATTGCAAACCGTCCCACATACGTAATATCTTCATTAATGCCTCTTTAATTAATTTCTTCTAATGCTGCCTGCTTCGGTTACGTAACGCAATGCGCTCCGGTTTTTAGCGTTTCGTTTTCTGCTCTCCCTATTTTGTCTCTACCAATAAAATATCGTTCGCGCGACTTTTTAAAAACAACAACAATAATACAGATTTTATTATGCACATGATTATTAAATAAGATTTATCTAATATTTCGATTGCTTCGTTTGTGATGATTTGTCTAAAAAACAAATAAGAATATTTTAGAAATTTATAAATTAGTAAATCGATTTACTATTATTTTGCTATAAATAATTGTTACTAACTTATTCGAGACATGTTTTATGTATTGATTGACAAACTATACTTCATTATTTTTAAGACATTTTTAATATTTTGATTTTAATTACAAAATTTCTACATAAATATTAATAACTTTTAGATATTACATTTTTTTACAAATAGTTGTAGAAATTTTATCTTTTTGATCATTCAGAAAAGTCATAAAATTGTCTTCATAGCAAATTCGTAGTAGATATACTATTATTACATTGTTTATGGTTTTCTTGTTTATCCTTTGTTTTTGGATTTAATATTTTGGTATTTAAATTTAGAAGATTTACTATAAAAAAAAGGATAATTTTAGACTAAAATATTATGGAAATGAAGACTTCTTACATATTTAAAGATTAAGACTCAAAAGGAACAAAATATTCAATCAAATATTACTATTTTCGTTTATCAAATGAATGAAAAAGTAATAATTATTATAGTTAACTGTAACTACAATTACAATTATTGTTATAAATTGTAACTTTTAAAGTTTAATGCAAAAACTTTATGATAATGATCGTGAATTTTAAATATTCTCGTGCAGATTTTATAATATCTTGTTAACACTTCGAATAACTTTTATCCTATCATATCCGCTTTTAGGTTGAGGAACTTTTTAACAAAACTCGTTTGCAAGTTTCTCATCTCCCGTTGAAAGTATATTTTTTTTCACTTACATTTTTCATCAATTTTGTTTAAGAACACTACACTTACTTGCCCAATATTAAATTAGTTTTACTATACAAGATGGATTTTATGATGTACAGTGATTTTTTTATCACTTTAAATTTAGTTTGATAACATTATTTTTATATAAATCTGGCAGAAAACGAAGGAATTCAAAGAAACAAAAATTCTTATATTTATAAGTTGATCCACATTATTCAAGGTAGACACATCTAAATTAGATATGTGTGTGTGTAATATTTTCCTAGTAAACTTTAAGAACGCGCGAGTCCGTCCAAATCTTCTCTCTATTCATACACTTGGCTTAAATTAGGAAATTGAAGATGATTGTGTGACTCAGAATTTCACTTTTTCACAGAACGAAATTATTTTTATTTCTGCGGATTGATGCGATCACGTACATAATAATTTTCCCGAAAAACATACTTGCATATTTATTTTAAGAATTCAGACATCAGTTTATAGTTTTCAACTTAACTTTTTGTTTACTCTCTCTCTCTCTCTTTTTACTTAAGTAAATTTGCAATTACTAGCTTCCAGTTATTTCTATGATATCTGTTAATAATTATCACAGCAATATTATAAAGTACAAAATGTGATTCTAAGTATGATTGAAAACTTGCTTAATGTCTAGGCTTCATAATTGAATATTGACTAAAGTTATTTTTTTTAAACAGAATTAGAACGGTTTTTATAACGTATAAAACGTGATAAACATTTTCCTTATAAACAAATTATGAGAAGAAAAAAATTGTAAAACTCCAATTTTCGATATAGAATTGCTTCATTAGAGTCTTTAATAGTGCATGATTGAGCATGAATTTCATTTTAACTTTTCTTTGATCTGGAAAAGTTTGAGAGTTCTTCCAAAAGGTTCATTTTTCATCACCAAGGACATTCAGTTCCAGCCTGTTTGCAAAAGTAACGATCGCTTCTGCGTTCTGCTTTACAATTTCTGCCGTTTCTTAATAACCCTTAAGTGAAAAGAAAAAAAAATGTTTACTATAAACTAGACTTGTATTACACTCAAAACACTTTATAATAATAGTTTACAATTAAAACGAATTGTATGTTTGCAATAAGGTGTAATGAGTTTCCACGAAGAAAGGAAAATAATCTCGGGATTTGATTGGATGCAGGTTGTTAATGTAATTGAAAAAAAAAAACAAGTTGTATAGCCGTCAAGTGGATACTTGCGTTAGGCTTATCCGAATCGAATTGGTTGCATGAAAGCGTGTTTGCAATTACAAATTTTCCTTTTGGATTTGTGCAAGCAAATAGAATTACTATGGATTATTTCTACCTTACGTTTATTTCACTGTTGGGCGACTGATTCGTATCACTTTTATATTATTATCAAGATTATTTATGTAATAATACACCAGAAGTTTATTCTGCAATTATTTAAGAAACTACAGGCGAAACTTATTGCATGTCTGAAGAAAAACAAAACTATTTATGAGAGAACTAAACAAATTTAAAAAAAAAAAAAAAAACTAATGTTGATATTGTTCTTAGCGATTACAATTAAGATTCCATTCGCTTCTATTTTTACATTGTGCGAACCAAAAGCGCGCTTAATAACAGCCCTTTATATATATATAAATTTTTTTTGTCGCGTCTCGAAAATCGCTGGAGCGATCACAAATAATTACCATAAAGAATGAACTCATTTACACATTTTAATTAAGAAGCGAATTTAGATAAGGAAATTGCAATTAGGCTTTGCCGCGTACACATATAAATACGCAAGGCAGGGGTTCTCTAGATTAAAATGGATGTAACATGAAAGCATGTCCGAAATTGTAATTCGCTTGTAAAGGGGGTGACCCGAACCCGCCCTTAATAGGACAAACCAACGTGAATTAAACGGCGGCGCATGATTCGCGTTACCGCAACATTTCCTAATTATCCTGTTTGGATCAATTTAAATGGTAATTTGCCGTTCGAAAGATCTTCCGTATTCCTAAGGTAATGGACAGAAGATGGGATATAATTATGAGTAGAAGAGTGATCGGTCAACGGAATTGATCCCAATTTGCAATCCATTTGCTGCAGAGAAAGAGAGTTGTGGATCGATTGCGTACGAGGAAGATCGAAATTATTTTTTTTTGCTAATTAATTGATGACCGCTCGCTTGTTGCGATTATAACGTTACATAAAGCTGGACACATGTCGTGATTATTTGCTCCTCTTACATGATAAAAAAACACTAAAAGCGTATTTCCATCTCAATTCTAATTGTAATGTAAGTAGTTGACATGCGGATAGCGGCGCTATATCAATCAACGTTTCTTCTCTCTTTGCCGAATGCGCACCATATGGTGCGTTCCGCGCTTCGCAAGAACCGAGTCCTTGAAGATGTGTTAATTAACTTTTGTAATATCTCTCTTTTCTTTTCGTTCAATTAATTTATTGCGTTCATTAATCATTTCACTGGCAAACTTAATCCAGAGCGCACGGAACTTCAGGGATGGTCAAATCGTTTACGTATAATCACTAATTATCTCACTTGATTAATATCAATGTTTTTGTTAAAAATGATATTGATTTAGTTTTTGTAAGGCCTAGAATGTTACCACGTGCAACACCGTTATTATATCGATTTTAAACATTCATAGAATATCCAAATTATTGATTATTTTATAAAATATTGTACGTTTTCATTCACTTTGTGGATACAGAAAAACCTCGCATAGTCCGGCTTCGATCAGTCCGAATTTACTATAGTCGGTTTTGAAAATTTCAAATAAACTAAATTTGAATTGAGTAAAATAAAAATAAATTTTAAAAATTGAGTACACAAAATTCATACATTTAAGTCCCTTATTTTTTACGTATTTAGCTTCAAACAGTCCTAAATATTGGTGGAACCGTTCATGCGCACTATATGAGATATTGCTGAATTTAAAAGATTGGATTTCAATAAAACCATACGATATTTAGTTTTTTTTTTAATTTCGCGTATTTCAGTATAATTAATGCACATGTGCTATACATCAGCGCTTTCTATACTGTGAGACGCGGACTGGGCTAAGGGGAGGCGCGAATATTAGTCAAAGTGAGCAGTGACTGCTAAAGTTTTATCTATTTTATGAAATGTAGAGGAGGAGAGACGCCAAATGATTAGATATTTTTAAGGGAGGCGTAGTAACATCAAGTTTGGAAACCACTGCTATACGTAATAGGAAGATTTAAAGTTATTGAGTAATTCAAATAATTAGTTATTGATTATGATCGAAAGATAGTTATCATATAATACATTTTACATTGCATTGCAGTGAAAGAAAAAGTTAACTTCTATAACATTTTGATGTGAATAACTTATTAGTAATTTCTTTCTTATAATTTTGACTCTTTAACTTTTTGAAGATTCTACTATTCTCTATATTTCTTTTGATAATTTGAATAATATACTGATGAGTTTAGAGTAATTTTCCTCTTTTAGAATGTATATATAATACATACAATACAATTTTTTTCAAGAAGAACAAAATATTGTTATTTGATTAAGAATAAATACTTATCACGCACATGTAAATCATCTCAAATGGATTTGATGGATGCGTTAATTGAAGAAAATAACACAAACATTGACTTTATCATCTTCTAACGTTTAGTTGATGTAACATTCTTTTTTGGGAATTAGTAAATACTTTTAGTTCGATTACCTTTATTGTCAATACCTCGCATAGTGAGGGTAATCAGTTCCGCACTATTTAAAACCGTACTAATCGAGGACATTAAAAATAAACAGTACAAAGAAAAAAATGATGATTTATGTATAAAAGAGAAATTTGTGTACTAATT